TTACATGTATCTTATAGTGTTTTATGCCTATGTTACAGAGGAAAGATATGAAAACTGAGTCTGGTAGAATAAAGCTTTTGCATGTTTCAGAGACCTGCTATTCTTTACAGTGTTCTATGTGGTGTAAATAGAATAAGAATCTAGGTAATTATTAAAGTGCTCTAGTAAGTATTTTTGGAAAATGATAGGTTGGCTAAAGTAAATATGCAGATTTGTTTTTTGTCTCTCAGTCTTGAGCTTTTTTCTCAAAAGGCAATCCAAATTAGGAGAAGAAATCATTTTAGTTTCAGGTTACTTAGTGAAAAACATATATATTGGTTTTTGTTTTGTTTTGTTGGTTTGGTACTTGCAGGAGAGCAATTTTCTAAACATTTTTGTTTATGTCTGGAAATGGTGATCTAAGAGTTCTTGTATAAAAACAGCTGCCTTAATTTCAGAAAAATTGAAAGAGATTACTTGGCTGTAGAGGATGACTGATGGATAGCAGTATCCTTACTTAGGAATGCTAGAAATCTATCTTCTGATTTATTGCACAAGATCCTAGATGAAATGAGAACTAATGATGTTAACTATCAAAAAATACATGCTTGTCTGGTCTTGATCAAAAGAGCTTTGCTTTTAATTTCCAAGTTAAGATTTATTATTATTAATAAAAATTTTAGTATTCTAGGATTTTTAAATCAAAATGTGTACTCTGCCTCCCAGTTAGTCTGTTGAATATTATCATGATTCTGAAAGGATCTTTTCCAACCTTGACTGGTCTATAGAATTTAAAAACTACATAATATTTACTGTGGGTGACTGAAGATTCTTAATCTAGTTAATTTTAAGAATCATTATAGTGACCTAACTGGTTTGACTCATCCGTTAAAGAGTCTTGGCTGAGGCAGTAGCAGCTTGTCTGGGGTGGGGAGGGCTAGAGGGAGGGGGTTGTGGGTCAATTGGGGAAAAAGGAGACGTATGTAAAACTTTAAATGATAAAAGAAAAGAGTCTCGGGTTTGATTCCAGGGCAAGGGTACATACTTGGGTTGTAGGTTCAGTCCCTGGCCCTTATCTGGGTGCGTGAAGGAGGCAACCAATTGATGTGTCTCTCACAGGGATGTTTCTCTCCTTCTCTCTCTCTCCCATCCCTCTTTTCCCCCCTCTCTCTAAAAACTAATGGGAAAATATCCTCAAGTGAGGATTAACAACAGCAAAAGAATCATTATATTAAAATCATTTTTAAGTTTATTACAATCTATAAAAGGAAATACATGCATATGATCCTTCACTCTGTGCTTAAAATGTAAGCCAGATGTAAATAACTTCATATAGTTAAAATTAAAAGGCTAAATCAGGTTATGCGTATCTATAATAATACAAGCATAATATACCAATTAAACCAGATAGCCGAACCAGCTTCTGGACGTTTTCCATATGTCCTTCTGGATGACCTTCTGGATGAAGCCAGGGCTGTGAGGGCCAAGCCCCTTGTACGAATTTTATGCATCCAGCCTTTAGTATGCATATACGTTCTTTGGTGAATCCCTTCCCACCCATCCACCCATTCTTGCCTTCCCTTTGAGATTCCACAGTCTTTTCCATGCTTTTATGTCTCTGGCTCTGTTTTGTTCATCAGTTTATTTTGCTCATTAGGTTCCACAGATGAGTGAGATCATGTGATACTTTTCTTTCTCTGACTGGCTTATTTTGCTTAGCATAATACTCTCCAGGTCCCTCCATGCTGTCTCAAAGGACAATGGACACACACAATAGGGTGGTGAAAGCCTGGGGCAGGGTGTGGGAATGGGCTGGAAGGGGTCAATGGGGGAAAGAAGGAGATATATGCAATACTTTCAACAATAAGTATTTTACAACTAAAAAAAACATATCCTTAATAACTGAATATATATTTATATACTTAATAATTAAATATAATAAAATACATTTAATATTAAAAATTATTTTGAATTTCAAAACAGATATTATCAGTATTGGCTTTAAATTAAACCCAACTAAATACTGTATTATTCCAAGTTATTGTATATAAATTCATATTTTATGCATAATTCAAAGTGAATTCTATCATATTATTTACAGTGTCATGGACAGCTTTTATAGCCTAAGTTATTTAGTATATGCTAATGCAATTTAGATATATTTTGGAGTTTTGAGCTTATTTATGAAAGAGATGAAGAATAATTGAGATTAAAACCATAATATTGGGCAATAGGAAAGATTTTATTGAGGTGAATGAATCAATTGGGAATAAATTTTATAATGATTGATTTATAATTTATATTTTGATGTTATTCAGTCATACATAACTAAATTTAGTTTAAATTGAAGAATTGGTTTTGAAACTTAATTTTTAGCTAGTGGATCCTAGTTTCACTCATACTAATTTGGTGCAGTGTGGGGTAGAGATTCTGAATATTAAAAATCCTGAATAAACAAAGGAGACAAGTTGAAGATTAAATCCAAGAGAGACTTTTATGAGATCTGGTAATTTTCTGAATTGTTTTACTTGTAGTGAATCAAGCATTTGTTTCTTCCATGAATCAAAGGTTTCATTGAAATTCAAAATTGATCATAAAAATGGTGATGTAGTTTCTGAGTTTAGATGTAGTTTAGAGTGTAAGTAATATAATAATATATTTAAATTATGAAGCGGTATGATTGTTCTACCTTGGTTTGTATACAGCATGGTTTGTACACTTATTATAGTTCATATTTTCTATAGTATAGCCTATGTGTACTCACGCACATAATTCAGACATATCACATATATTTTTAAAATACACACACACACACACACACACACACACACACACACACATATATATATGTAATACCTGAAATTTCTGTGAAATACTCTTGTGTTTGCACCCCTTTTTCACTTTAAATGTACTATTCTGCACTTATTTTTGTGTCATTACATACATCCATGCCTTATCGTTTAATAGCTGGCTGAATGGTGTTCCCATAAAAAATTACCATAATTTGACTGTGGATATTGATGTTACTCACATATTTTTGTTACTGTAAGCTACAGATGAGCATCTTTGTGTTTATATAATTGATAGCATCTAAGGTATTATTATAGGATTCCAAGAACTAAAATAGCTGGATCAGTGAGTATGTACATTTAAAATTTTATAGTTAATTCCCAAGTGGCCTTTACCAATTCCCATTTCTTTTAGCAGAACTTGAATGTGCTTCATCCTTCAGAACTTTATCAGTAATAGAATTTCATTCATTTAAACTTGTGCTAATCTGTCACTGAAAAAGGTTACTATGGGAAGGATAACATATCATGAGAAACAATAGTGGCTAGAAGGTTGTTTAACCTTCTTATTGTTTAACCTTGAGGGGTTTTTTTTACTGCTAGTGAAGGCCAGTTCTATTTATTTTGTGATTTGTTTATTAATATTAATATCCATTTTTCTGTTTGGTTATATATATGTTTTTCTTAGTAATTTTTAGAAGGTCTTCCTTTGTTGTGAATATTATCTTTATTATGTATTTTATTTTTTAAAAATATATATTTTATTGATATTTTACAGAGAGGAGGAAGGGAGAGAGAGAGAGAGCTAGAAACGTCCATGAGAGAGAAACATCGACCAGCTGCCTCTTGCACGCCCCCTACCGGGGATGTGCCCGCAACCAATGTACATGCCCTTAACCTGAATCAAACCTGGGACCTTTCAGTCCGCAGACTGATGCTCTACCACTGAGCCAAACCGGTTTTGGCTATTATGTATTTTCTAATATTTTCTCCTAGTTTACCTTTTGCCTTTAATTTTTTTATGTTATGTTTTTATCATCTAGAAGTTCTAAGCTTTTTATTGTCAAAGCTGTCTATAATTACCTTTATGGTTTCAGTATTTTATGTCATTAAGAACATAAAGTTGGAGAACAAACCTTAGAAAAACTACAAACTATTAATTACTGACTCTTCTGGACTGAGGTTACCATTAAATCTCATTTGTGTATCTGTGCCAATTGAGAAGAAGACACACGAGCCATCAGATAGGAGACCAATTATTAACTTGAATTTGTACTGGGGAGAAAAATGGAAAACAACAGCTGGAAAAATAAAAGAAACAAAACACAATCTTGATAAAAATCAAATTCTTTCTCTGTTCCTGAACTGGACTGGAGAAAAACATGCAACCCGGATGAGTTGATTCCCTTTGAATTCATGGCCAGGAGCACAGATGGGTGCTGAATATTGTAAAGCAGTAGGATGTGTCACTATTTCACACATTCAGTAGTTTCCTAAAGCACTCATAACCTCTTCCGCCATCCTATTCTCAACTGAGAATTTGAATTGTCAGTGGCTGACGTGAGTGCTAATGAGCTCTCATAATAAATACCTAGTATTGCAGTGGGCCAGAGAATGAAAAGGTCTGTGTAGGAAGTCTTAATGGCTAATTTGAATCAAGGCTGTGCAGAGAAGTTAGATGGATAGAAAGAAGTACACATGTACATAAATAGATATTTATTAAATGTTTTAGTATGGTTTGAATTGGGCTTGAAAGGATCATTGGCAAACCAGAGGACAGCGAGGGAATCTACGATAAGCTGAAAAATAAAATAAATGCCCCGTTACATAATTTTACTTCCAGTTACCACCATCCTGTTCTTTGTGCTCAATGGATATATGTCTTACTTCTGTGTGCTGTCTGAACTCCACATTGCATTGTTATCACTTCTACCTTAAACAGTCAAGAGTGTTTTTAAAGAGACTTAAAGAGGTCTATGTGCGTATAATAGCAACTGTATACATATCTATATGTCTATATTTAAGTATAGATATATAGATATAATATTTTTAAGATGTTCTCTTTATATACCAACATATTTACTCTTTCTGGTACCCTTCATTCCTTTTCCAGAATGGAGCTTCTACAATATGTGGTATAATTTTCTTTCAGCCTAGCACTTTCCCAATCATTTCTAGGAGTGCAAGTCTTTGGAGACTGTTTTGTTCTTATTTTGTGTTAATTTTTTCTTTTTGGGCACCAGAACCAACGATCACCAGCTGCCCAAATACCAAAAACTATGCTTCCCAAATCTCTTGATGTGGATTCTGCATGTAGAGCAATCAATCTCTGCTCTACCTGTGCCACTCACAACAGAAGCCCTTTTTTTTTTGTCTTAATTTTTAAAGAATACTTTCAATGGATATAGAAATCTAGGTTGTCTTTTCTTCTTTCAGCACTTTAAAAATATCATCCCGTTACCTTCTAGCCCAGTGTTTTTCAACCTTTTTTGGGCAAAGGCACACTTGTTTCATGAAAAAAATCACGAGGCACACCACCATTAGAAAATGTTAAAAAATTTAACTCTGTGCCTATATTGACTATATATAACGTAATTCTCTTGAATAGGAATCAAATAAACACAAAGAAAGTATTTTATAATTACTTTATTATGAAATATTAAGTAAACAAAATAGTGAAAAATTATAAAATTCTTGTCTTGTCTGCACCTACGGCACACCAGGCAACATCACTAGTGTGCCGCGGAACAGCGGTTGAAAAACACTGTTCTAGCCACTATTGTTTTTCATGACACATTATCCTTCCCATGGTAACCTTATATGTATTGTCTTTTTTTCTTGGGGTGATTTCAAATATTTTCCTTTTGATTTTTTTGCAATTTGATTATTATGTGTATAGATCTGGTTTTTCTTTTATTTATTATTGGGATTTGCTAAGCTTTTTTCATCTGTCAGTTGATACTATTCTTCAGTTTTGGAAAGGATTTTTGAAATAATTCTTCACCTCTGATATTATATTTTAACAATACTAATATTTCCACTTGGCTCTTTTTACTATTTTTTAATCTGTCTGCTGCAATTACCCTTCAGCTCGTGCATGTTTTCACTGTGTTCTGAAAGGACCATAGTTGTTTAAGGTCCCTGTTTGGTAATTCTGGTATCTGCACACCCCCTACCTTTGGGACTAGTGCTTGTGACTGTTCTTGCTTTTGTTAATGAGTCATTTCTTCTCGTGGTTCTGTGTGTTTCATCATTTTTGAAAATTGAATGGCAAACATTATGTGTAAAAGGATTAAGAGAACTTAGTTAAATAAGTTTATGCCCTCCAAAAAGACAAGCCTCTTTCTGTCATGTTAATGGAGTGGTTGCATTGGTTCTGGGCTTTGCTTTCTGCCCTGTAGTTGAGCTGTGTCCAGTTCTTGCTGTACTTATGTTTACTGCAGTTTGTTTTGTTTGAGAGCAGGATCAGAATATTTCTTTGGTATGGTTTGGGATTTCCCCTCAGTTCTCCTGACCTACCCCACAGACTTCAGCAAGCCATGTTCACCTGTTCTTACATGGAACCTCTTTTAGTGCCTCTTCTCTTCTCCTAGTCATAGATTGCCTGCTTGATGCCCACTGAAAAGTTCAGAGTGCCTGTGGGATTTCTTTTAGCTCTTTGCCCTCAGACTTTATTAAGCTCCACAGACCACATCTTGGTGGGACTTTTCTTATCTTCAGTCTCGTCCCACCCATCAGTCTTAAGAGTGTTTGTTGGAGGCCTGTTGAAAAGTGATGGCAGGCGGGTGGATTCCCTCTGTCTAGGATTCTCAGAGGTCCGAAACTGTCATGCCAGCCCCCAACATTTCAATATTTGTTAAAAGTTCAGTTGTTTTCTTCTTGTCAGCTTTCTCTTCCTGCTGCTGTGCCAAGAATGAAAGCTATTTTTTCGCTTTCTCTTATATGGGTCCTTTCACTTTTACAGTTTTTGTTCATTAGTTTTCTTTGGAACCGCTGTCTGATGAATGTTGAAAAGCTTTGATAGGTTGTATGGGTGATTGTTATTGTTATGATAGAATAGAGTTCTTTTATGATTCTCTGTGTTAAAAGGGAAGGGAAATTAATTGTTAGTAAGCAACATGACCATACGCACATACCTAAAATTCTTGTTTCATTTACATTAAATTTGACAATTACCTTGGATAAAGTTGCTAGTAGCCAGTAGCTCAACCTGCTCTGTCACTTCCTAGACTGTGATTACTCATCTTGACTTTATTACCCACCTTTGTTTATGAAGTATTGATCCTTCCTTTTTTGTTTACTGAACTGTTTAGCCAGAATTCTTGAAATTATTCTTAGAAGTAAGATTAGCAACTGCTTTCTTAAGAGCTAAACAAATCTAAAAATGTTCTTACTTTGCTGTAGTAACATAATAGAAAAATAGTAAGTTTTAGATGTATATTATTGGCTGTGTTTTTTATGTCTCATTCATTTGTTCAAGATAAATGCCAGGTACTTTTTACTATTTATTAGTTGGATATTATAAGACAGTATCATTAGTTGACAAGGTTTCTGTAGCTGACAAGAAGAATGTATGTGTAATTTTAATGCTCTGCAAACTTTGGTCTCTGTCCCTTATTTTAGTTCTCATTTTTTAGCTTTTAAGATGTAACTAAAAATGGCTATGGTGCCTTGGTTTAACTAATTGGTGAGGCCTGAGTGGAATGTGGATAAGTGAACCATTTTGGCAGTGAGCAGAGAAGTAAAGCACACTTTTCTCATTAGTTGTCTCCCAGGCTAAAATTAAACAGAAGTAATATATTGCCAAATTTCAGTGATTTATGGGGATCTGTTCTGAGTCAACTCAGTATCAGACTAATTGTCTGCACACTTATATATTAGAACTTTTGTGTTATTTTTAATGGCTGTGTCTTGTAAATTGAGTATAATATGAAAATATCTCTTTAGCTTTAACAGAACATTACCTCTAAATATAATTTCAACTAAGTTGATGTTAAATTAATAGATGATTCTGTTTTATCACCTATATAACATTCATGAAGTTCAAGCTTGGCTGAGTCATTTGGGCATTTTTTGGTATAATGTAATCATATAACTTATATGCACATTTACTGGTGAAGTACTTTAAGTGTTCATTATAATAAAGTAAATGAGACTTTCAAGATTAAATTTTTTTGTGAAAATATTTTCACATTTGTTTTTCTTCTCCTTTCTCTAAAATTTTAATTGAAAAGATGTGCAAATAATATTTTGAGAACATTTTAAAAAATTTACTCAGCACATTTAATTTCTGGCATATCTGAAAAGACTTTTAAAACAACTTGTCTAATATGGAGAATGTCTGTAATTTCTTAATTTACCTTTGTCTTTAGCAGCTTGACTACTTTTAAATACAGTAGGTCCTCCGGTTACATGGGAGATCCCTTCCTACTGCGCAATGTAATGTGACTTTTGCAGTAAGTCGGGACCCACCTACGTAAGCACCTACGACACTCACATGGAGCACATACACAGCAGTAATGAAGTGAAACGGTAAAAAAAAAAAAAAAAAAAATTAAAAGAAAGATAACAATCCCTGACCTTTACTTGTGGTAAATAAATTAAAAACAAAAAACAAAAAAAAACCCATAAAGCACATATGTACATACGTTGAAATGACGGAACTTTTTTTTTTTTTTTTTTTTTTAATAAATAAATGGGAGATGGCGACCATGAAAGACTTACGTCAAGTCTGATGCAACCTGAAGACTGTCTTTATATATTGATTTGTTTGTACAGGATTTTTTAGTTTTCAGATTTGGATGTGAATTCTTTTTTCTTTTTTTTTTTTAAAATATATTTTTAATTGATTTTTTACAGAGAGGAAGGGAGAGAGATAGAGAGCTAGAAACGTCGTCGATGAGAGAGAAACATCGACCAGCGGCCTCTTGCACACCCCCTACAGGGGATGTGCCCGCAACCAATGTACATGTCCTTGACCGGAATCGAACCTGGGACCTTTCAGTCCATAGACTGACGCTCTATCCACTGAGCCAAACCGGTTTCGGCTGGATGTGAATTCTTTTTCTCACCTAATAATATTTTTTGAGAAAATGAGTTGTTGTAAAACAAAGACAGTATTCAAAAGAACTCTCGCTGCATACCATAATACTGTGGTTTTATTTTTTTTGTTTGTTTTGTTTTTTTACTACATGGGGATGACAGCCTCAGGTGTAGTTAAGTGGCTAGAATTGTTTGAACACTGGATATCACTTTGGGAAAGTCCTGTTTCATTTCCCCTTGACATAAAATAGAATTTTTAAACCTTGTTATGTAGACTGCTGATATTTGAGAAATAGAAGAATTTAGGAACTCATGAAGAATTTGCATTCAATTACAGAAAAAAGTATATTAAATTGTATTTTCCAATTGACTTCATCCCTGGGTCCCCTTTTGCAATCACCTTGCATTTTGCTTCTCCCATCATTTTTTCCCGACATGTATGTGAGTGAACCGTTACTCATCGGCACGTGCATTGGCACATGGGTGGCGGACTTGCTTGTGTTGTCTCAGCATGCTGTTCAGGAATCTGTACTGATTCTGGGTCCTTGGAGAAGTATCACTGTAAAGTGGAACAGGAGTATACATGGCAAATTTTGCCTGTTTGAAAATTCTGTGCAAAGCTTTGAAAAAGTGGTAATTTCTCTTTTGCTCCCTGTCCTCCATCCTATTTCCAGCTCTGTGTGCTTCATAGGACTCAGTATTGATACTAACTTACTAACACTGATTGTTCAAATAATCTGCAATAGTTTAGAACAAATGGGCTTTTCCCAGCTAACCTGAGAACCTACCTACTATTTATTCTGACTTTTTTTTTTCTCCAGCCTCTACCTTGTGGCAGGTACTTTTCTAGGTGCTGGAGGTAAAGTCCAGGGCAAAACTGATAAATACGCCTTCTTTCTTATTTCATACATCCTTGTGGAGCTAATATTTTTATTAAAAAAACATATGTAGAAATGCAAAACCTCATTTATAAATCTCTATAGCTAGTACATAAATCAAAAAATGCGATATTCTGCCTTAAGTTCTATCTGAGTAATTTTTATCAGAGAGGGATAAAAATGTTTAGTTGGTAGGATTGACTTACAACTTCTTGCACCTCAGCCTGTGTATTACGTCAGAATGCTAGCCTGCATTTCATCCGGGCAGCTCCCTCTCTCCGCTTCTGAAGAGTTAAAGCTGTAATGTACAATGATTTATGAAGTGATCACGATTATGCTTCCTTTCACATCCTGAATTAGTTTTGTAAGATAAACAAAAAAAGGAGATAATATTCCATTCTCATGGCCAATATAGAAATTGGTGTTTGCCTAAAAATATTGTGCTTA